CTGTTGAACACAAAACAAGATATTCTGAAGAATGTTAGGGGAAAAGCAGCCATTGACATCCATAGTATGATCTAAAAATACTATGGTAGTCAGTTGCTGCTTTTTCCCAACATTCTTCAAAATATCTTGTTTTGTGTTCAGCATAAGAAAGAAACTTACACAGGTTTAGAACAAGATGGAGGATGAGTAAATAGTGACAGGATTATCATTTTTTGGGTGAACTTTGCCTTTAAGGGAACTTTCCATTTATTAATTTTCTAAACATTATCATTAAGAAACCAGCATTTAAAAAAACGGGTAACACTTTAGTTTATTTACTAATTCCCACTGCTAATTCCTGCTTTTAACCAGCTTATTATTAGGGTAGTCACAGTTTATTAGTACTTATTATGTATGCTCTTATTCTATTTCTCTATGCTCTAACTATTAATAAGCAGCAAATTAGTACTTTATTGAGCTAAAAGTCATAATTAACGGTTTATTAACAACATAAATTGTACCTTAAAATAATAAAGTTTGATCAAAATAAATGTAATTAAACTTCCAAATAAAATGTTTATTATACGTTAACTGAATGGATATTCTTAAATACATAATATAAAGTCAGCATGAACAGAAAGTTGCTGAGACGTTTATGTCAGTGAATTTTGAGTAGGGGTGGGTAAATAGACGATAAGAGGGGCGTGGCTGAGGTTATGGAAGCACTGAGGTTGATGTCAATCTCTGCCATTTCAAACGCGGAAACAAAAGGTCCTTTTGATTGAAGATTACCAAAACTAACAAACAAATTCAGTGGATTAACTTGCATGGATTTATGATGCACTTTAAGTAACAACGTGAGCTATCAAAATAAACTTAGCAAATTTTTCATTTCAGGGAGATTTTAAACAGTAGGATGTGTGTTCTTGTGTTGATTCAAGCTTTTGCAAGTAGTAGATAGTCTTACATCATACAAGCATCTCTGTCCGACGGTCAAGCAGTTACCCATGCCCTTCCAGGCCTTGATCTGGCTCACCAATTTCATGTAAACCTCCTCACAGGGAATCCCAAAGAGCCTGACAGAAAGCAAGAATAGCAATTACAGCCACACTGTTAGACTTTCCCACAGTTTTACAGTTATTAACTGCAAAACTGCCCAGTTAAATACCATATACAATCTTTACAGTTCACTACTGTAATATGCACTGCATTGTGGGTCATTTTAAAACTTATACAGTAGCTTACTGCATAATAGGAACTTGCGGTATACTACTGGAATCAAAGTACTTGAGTAGACTGTCAGACTTTGCCACAATTTTACAGTTATTTACTGCAAAAACAGGCAGTAAAATACCACATACAATCTTTACAGTTCACTACTGTAATATGCATTATCATTTTAAGTCATTTTAAAACTTATACAGTAACTTACTGCATATTAGGAATTTGCAGTATACTACTGGAATCAAAGTACTTGAGTACACTGTTAGACTTTGCCGCAATTTTTTCCATTATATACTGCAAAAAAGGCCCTTAAAATACCACATGCATTCTCTACAGTTCACTACTGTAATATGCACTGCATTGTGGGTCATTTTAAAACTTATACAGTAGCTTACTGCATATTAGGAAATTGCGGTATACTACTGGAATCAAAGCACTTGAGTAGACTTTCAGACTTTTCACAATTTTACAGTTATTTACTGCAAAAACGGCCAGTAAAATACCAGATGCATTCTTCACAATTCACTACTGTAAAATGCACTGCATTGTTCGTCATTTTAACACTTTTACAGTAACTAACTGCATGTAAAGAAATTGTGAAATACTACTGGAATCAAAGTACTTGAGTACTGCTACTGTAGCTGAAGACATAAATGAGACGGTTAATGAAAAAAAAATGGCACTTGTTTAAAATTTATTAAATACTAAAAATAAAGGTTTTGTGATAGTGGTGTAAAATGTAAATAAATTAAAGTAGAAGTACTGTAAAATGATCATACAGTAAAATATTAAAATGTGGTTGCATTTTACCATAAAAAGAAGTTCCAGTAAGGCTATTTTACTGTAAAATTAAATTGCAATAGGGTCTCTGCTACTGTAAAACACATATACAGGTAGGTTACTGTAAAAGGAAAGTTGCAGTAATTTGCTGGCAACAGAGCTACCAGTAACTTACTGCAAAAATACAATACAATGTCTCACAGTGCGTGGATTTGTCAACTGGAGTGTGTATTGGACCCTCATGTGAAATGAGTTTCCGTATTTTGTGAATCATAAGTGTTTTTTCTGTTTATTTATGGTTGTGAATTGCATTATGGGAGCTTGATCTCTGCTCTGTTGATTTTTAATGTTGAAAATTTAACTCTACAGTTCAATAAAGTGACTTTTATTGACATTTTAGTATTTTGATATAATATAAATAGGAACTAATATGTAGAGAAATAAGGCTGTAAATAACACTAAATGTATTTGCAGTTTATTAATTTTTTTAGCATAACAAAACCAACCTATAGACAATATTAGACACAAAATTGTCAACTGTTAAAATGTTTTCAACTTTTCAAGATTAAAAGTTGTTGGAAGAAATACCAAAGTCCCATTATGCAACTCAAAAATACAGGAACAAATAAAAACATGAATCACAAAGTACAGAAAACTGCTAATTTAGTCTTGTTTTTTCTTTTTTTTTTACAATGTAGGTCATTATGTTAACTAGGCAGGTTAAATAGTTCTGTAGACAATTAAAATCTTTATTTCTTAAGGGGGCTAATACTATTAACTTTAAAATTAATAAAAAAAAAAATTTAATAAAAACGGCTTTTTTTCCCAGCCAAGCTAAAAAAAAGACTTTCCCCTGAAGAAAAAACATTATAGGAAATACTGTAAAGGTTTCCCTGCTCTATTAAACATCAGTTGGGAAATATATTAAAAGAATAAACATTTCCCAGCAAATGTGGAAGGTCAGTCACTGTGAATAATTAGCATGGTGATTGCTTGCAATCCAAGCCTCATGATGGGAGTCACAAGTTTGTGATTTGTCATGGTATTTCAGCCATTCCAATCATAAGGTTTGATGATTTGTTTTTATAAAAGGGTGAAGAATTGCAAAACTTTCCCAACAACAGACATTACTTTGAAGTAATTCAATAGTATTTTATGCTTTGCTACCACTGATTTGCATGAAAAGTGTGCTTCTTCATACTAATTGATTTTGCTATTTGTGTTTTTATACTGCATTGACATTCACAATGACATCTAATAACCACATATAAACATATATAAAGAGCAGAATTCCAGTCCAGTCAATATCAACATTTTATCGTTAACAATTTTTGTAGTTTGTAAATGTAAAGTTTTTTTGTAATGCTTAATTTTCCCAACAACAAAAAATGTTGATGGCTAAACTAGTACTTCAACTCAAAATAAAAATTTTGCTGCTTGTTCAAACTATTTATTTAAAATAAGCTGAAACGACACAATTATTGCATGTTTGGATTTGTAAAAACAATTAAGTTAACTTAATCAATTTGTGTTGGGACAACTTGAAGGAATTGTGTGAAACCCAGCGTTATTTTTACAGTGTATTTCTGTTATTTGTCAATGCAACATTTCAGTTTGTCTTTAAGTTAAATGACCAATATAACCATTATAACAGGGGT